ACAGATTCAGATGAATATTCTAACGTCTTTCTCGGTTCATATATTGATGAGAGTGTTGACTAATGTACCATTTTTTGCCTCCAGTTGAATGTGAATCAGAGCTGTTAGCATATCATTAACACATGCAGGCATCTGTGAGCGTGCGTGAGAGAATGTTTGGTGGAATGTTTCCGAAGAAAAGTAAATCGGAAATCGGAAAACTTTTACAGCTTCAGCAATAATAGCAGAGCACATCTTCACACCAGACAGACTAAAATAGCAGATTGGTTCTTAAACATGTTTGACTGTATTTCTTTGTGATATTTCCAAGACATTTTAAAGAACGTTCAAGCTTGAGTGAGGAACAGAAACTTCACCAAAATATTTATATTGTTCCATCATTTATGTTCCAAACCTGAGTTTTCAAAGAATACTGCAGTCACTCTCTTCTATATAATGGAAGTGAATGGGGACGAAGTCTGTCAAGCTCCAAAAATAACAACAATAAAAAAACCTTAGTCTATATGTCATGATATGGCTTTAGAAGACTTTGAATATTGCTGTCTGGACCACTTTTGTAATTTTATGGTGTTTTTGATCCCTTCTGAAACTTGACAGTCCCTGGTCCCCATATGCTGCTATTGTACATGAAACTAAATCACTATTTTTCAAAATTTCTCCTTTTGTGTTCAATAGAAGAAATAAATATTCAAGTAGGCCTACTTAAAGGAATAGGTCACCTAAAAATGAAAATGTGCTTAAAATGTACTCAGGTCATCCAAAACGTAGATTAATTTGATATCTAGATGTTATCGGAACAGATTTGGACAAATTTAGCATTACATCAACTTGCTCAACAATGGATCCTCTGGAGTGAATGGGTGCCGTCAGAATGAGAATTCAAACAGCTGATAAAAACATCACAATAATCCACAAGTAACTGACAACTCCTGTTGATCGATTTACATCTTGTGATGTGAAAAGCTGCGTGCTTGTAATAAACAAATCCATCAATAAGACATTTTTGTCTTAATCAGGAGAGAAAAATGCACAGATCTAGCAAAACATATGCTGGTGGATTCAGATGTGAGAGGACAACAGGGGACAGAGTTTTTCACTGAAGGAAGTGAAATTATGGATCATGGACTCATATTTTATCCAGAAGTGACACCTTAATGACGGACTGTTCTTACAAACAAGCAGCTTCTCACGTTACAAAACATTGTTGGAGTTGTGTGGATTATCATCATGTTTTTATCAGCTGCTTGGTCATTCTGTCGGCGCCCATTCACTGCAGAGAATCCATTGGTGAGCAAGTGATGTAATGCGAAATTTCTCCAAATCAGTTCAGATGAAGAAACAAACTCATCTACAACTTGGATGGCATGAGGGCGAGTACATTTTCATCAAATTTTCATTTTTGGTGAACTATTTCTTTAAGTACTAAAATATTGAACATAAGTGATTCAGAGTGTAGTTTAACACTTAGGCCAAAGCAAGCACATCGTATAATGTGCCTTCAGGTTGTGTGTGTGTGTTAGCAGTCAAGTCAGTGGTATGCAAGCTTCATTACAGAGGGTGTGGCTCAGTAATTACCAGAATATGGTTTGTGTTTTTGTTGACAGAGGAAGATCTGACACTCTAACAAGATGAATGGCACATTCCACAAACGCAAACACGCACCATATGTGGCAGATCTGAAAAACGGATTTCAAAAGTGCATTCAGCACATACCTGCTTTAAAGTCAATACTTTATATAAATGCTGTTTTGAAATGACTCCAACGCTGCATCACTGTAAAAAAATATTCGGAAGGAAAGAAAATCCGACTCCTGGCTTACAAACAGCAAAGAATAATTATTGGATCACCAGGATACAGTAACGCAGGCTGTGACATTTGGGAAGTTGTCACCATGGCAACATCACTACAGTGAGAGCTCATTCCTCATCCCAGTCTGGATTTATGAGTAAATACCCGCTCTAACAGAATAAAGGCACAATACCATCAGAAGACTTTGTGCCAGTGTGAGTATGGAAGAAATGTTGAGGAGTGAGTTTATGCTTTTATATAAGTGTATGCACACGTGTGTTTCTGTGTGAGTGTACATGAAATGCAGTCAATTACGGCACAGAATATTCACACCAGTTAACGTTCAATAAAATTATTTCCTGTTCCTACAATAACTCCACCACTGAATCTACAGCACAACTGGAAAGGAAATCAGACTATTTTACCTGATTTGTGAACCTACTGAATTGAATGCTTTTTAATTCATATACCATGAAATAAAGGCAAGGTAATGTCTTTTCTATTGTGATATCGTCAATGGCTGCACTCCAAAACTAACATACAGAGCAAATAGTCAAGTCAGATTTTATTCTTGAACAGGTTTTTAATGAAAGACTCAAATCAATTAGCTGAAACAGTTTGATGATCCTTCACTTGATTCCCATACTGAATACTTATATATATATATATATATATATATATAATTGCTAGGGATCTGGCTCAGTTGGGCAAGTGGTTACATTTTTTATTTGTCCTGTTAAAATTTTCACTTGCCCTGCAACAAAAAGTAAATAAATAAATGCATGAAAATAGTTACCGTTTTCATTATTTTTGACCCATGCATCCTTGTATTCCAACAAAAAAAGATTGTTACAACACCAAGATTTTACATTCCAATTAAATTTCAGAATTCTGATTTCAATTTCATTTTCACAGTAAAAACTACAAATAAATAAATTACAAACAGTAGCACACATAAATACATAAGTGCAAAGACGCAAATGAAATAATCAGTTTTTAGGTAGGACTATTGTAGTATTGTAAGAAATACCACAGAAATTAAATGTAATCAAATGTAAAATAATACTGCATATCCCCTGTATGAATTAAAGATTAATCCTTATTAAAGTTACAAAATTCATTCAGAGAACAGTGAGGGATTCTTTTTTTCTTGTTTGATAAACATTAATGACATAATCTAAGCATAAAATACCTGCTGCTGCCAAATAAAAACTTCCAAGTTCTCTTTCGCATCTTCTTGTGCTTTAAAATGGCTTGAATGTTTAAATTGATGAGAATTAAAAATAGTGCTGATAAACTTTCCTTAATCAATCAGGCCAGTGATTGGGCAATCCTTATTGTGTAGCTTTGATATGTGAACAGCTTATTATTCTGTGCTGCCTGCTCTCTATAAGTGCGCTTTAAAGAGACAGGTTTCCTGTAGTGTACAAGTCAGCAAGCAAGATCAAATGTGTTTGTTTCTTTTTAAACCACTGCTTTAATTAATCTTCAACTGTATTAAATTAACACATTGAAGCAATAGCCCCAAATTAAAATATGGTACCAAAAAAGTACTGTTTTTATAGACATAGTTAGGGGACCAATTATAGAAGGTCTGAATGCTGAAACACTGGGCACTATCATCTCTAAGTTAATAGTCCCACTCATAAATCATGACAATTTTTCATCTTTCATATGCAAATTTTTCCTCAGAAATTGGCTGCATTCCCTGTGGCTAAAGCCTATAAAACACTTCCACACTTTGATTATAAAGCGATATCCCAGAAATCATCTTGCTCCGAGAGAGAGCGAGCATGCAACCCATAATGCCTTGTGCCTTCACTTCTATTAATTAGTGTGCAGAAATCAAAAGCTTTGCATCTGATGCCTGAGAGAATTCAATTAAGAGGCAAATGCCCTTTTGTGTTATTGAGTTAGGAGCGGCCACACAGCTCAATATAATAACCTCCATACAGAGTAAGGACAAACAGAAAACCCCAAGGGCTCATTGGAGAGACCACTCTTTCCTCAGAGAGGGTGGTCCAAATGGCCTCCTCTCAAGCAAATATCAATGATATTTATCATTTTTTCAATGATATACTTTCCATATGAAACCGTGAACCGTATGCTGTGTTTCCATTATAATCAGAGAATGACTATCATGTCAATAAAAGGTTAAAAATACATTACGGTTAAAAACTTTTATCATAACCTCCATAAAACATCACCAAAGCACTTCACATTCAGTAAAGTATATTTCATATTTTCTCATTTTTCACAGCACATATATTCGGCGCATATGGCATTGCAACCTAACCTGTGATTTTTTATATATTCATGTGATTTTGTTTTCCATAAATTCTCACATTTTCTCACAACTTCAACAAATCTTCTCACATTTGTGAAAGTAAATGTGTTCTGGTGTTCCTTCCTAGGCTGTTCTGCTGCACTGGAATAAATGACATTACCAATGAATGGCATTATTAGCAATAAATCAAATACTGTGTAAAGCCAATGTACCCAAGCTAATGCTTCACAGTTTTATTATTTCATTGCTAATGGACCAAATGCCTACACACTGAAGCTACAGCACCACAGCAAAATAAATCATATGTTATTCTAGATGTAAACTTCCAGCCTGAATTGAAGGACCGGAAACCACAACATGAAATAAAACCAACACATTTTCTACTGTGTCTTCACTGGCTACAGCCAAAAATAAATATAAACTGCAACCACTGTGATTCTATTCACACAAGAATGACTCTCATGAAACAGTTACGAGTTTTCATATTCGTCACAAAGTATTCACTGAGTTCTTGAGTGGATGCTAAATCAAAATCTGATTTATTTACTAAACTGTCTGAAAAACTTTAAAACATGTTACAAAACCATATATATTTTGTAGTTAAAAACAATTATATTTTTATAATTTAGGCGAGTGGAGAAAGAACTCCCTGAACACCGAATTCTATAGGAAACACTGACTTAGGTTACTGTTTACTGTAGGCCTTAATGTTTACTTTAGGACGTTGAAAATGCAAATTATATTCTAAGCTACCACCGATGGGCAATTATTTGCAAACTGTTTTTTTTTTTATGTTTAAAGGTCTATGATTCAGCAATTCACAATATTTATGTCTTTTTAAGCTTGACATTTTTCTTTAGAGGATGTAACAACATACGTCTTGCGGATCTAATATTAATACCCAACTGTTTCCTTGAGCCTTACCTTGTCCTTGTCCTCCACCAGGTCTGTTAGCACATCATCAGGGTCCAGAATTCCCCCATCACAGTACTCAACATGGTGGGTTCGTACCAGGAAATATCCCTCCTACAAAACAAAAAGCGTCAGAGTTGGTAATCAGCAAGAAAACATGTAATGACCTCAGACTTATCAGTTAACAAGGGTTCCCACAGTGATGTCTAAACTATAACTATTCTCTAAAATAAAAGCAGTGACTTGAGCCTGCCCATCATGGCTAAAAGTACTCGAGTCTGAGCTAATTTTAGAGCAGCGTGTATGAGTTCACTCTGATGTACAAGCAGCTCGGGACATCTTTCATTGCAGTCTTCCCACACAAATCCTCTACAACCATCTCCTACAGGTGGAGTGCCACAAGGCACTATCAGGGGCCCGATGGACTTTTCTGATTAATGCTGACAAAATACAAAGCAGATCACATCAACATCCACAAATCATCAAATCCTTGTGAGCTCACAACCACCGCCAACCAGGTCCCAGAGACCGGAGTGATGTAACTCCAAATCTGAGCTCCAAATGTCAATTTCAGCTTATGCCAAGAAATGAGGTATAAACAAGGCATCTGCACAACAAATGGCTTAATTCCATTTTGCGCCTGATCTTATGTCATTACATCTCACTTTTTGGCTGCATTCATGATGCATGCTAACTTAACACAAAGCAAGTGAGAGATGATTGATGTCAGGCAATGCCATGTAGCAAAGTAGAGGAAGTAGTAGTGGGAGGTATGGTATGCTTAAACAGTATTTGCCTTGGCATAGAGTAACAGCAAAACTTCATTGATAGCGTGAAACCTGAACCTTTGATATGGGCCTACACTGTTTATCTTGGATTTTGTGGGACAGCAGAGCTATCAGTTCTCACACGACAAATTGAGATTGTTGGTTGATTGATTGAAATGTGCAGTTTTTCTGGAAAAAAATAATAATAATTGTTTAAATAAAATCAATTAATTGGAGATGATTATTAAAATTTAATGGAAACATTAAAATGGAATCCAGAAAATACTGGAAAACAGAATGTGGTAAAGATAAAACTGTAAAACTCAATTAATTAGACAGGCTTTTTGATTACTAAAATTTAATTTAACCATTAAAACAGAGTATAGAAAAAAGAAAATAGAAAAATAAAACTGAAATTGGAAATAAAACGGATTTCATAGGGCCCTATAATTATAATACATTTTCTTGTGGTAATAAAAATAGATGTAAGTGAACAATATCCTTTAAAATTACTTAAAATTAGGGATGTAACGATTCACTCAACTCACGATTTGATTCACGATTTGGATTTCACGATTCGATTCACGATTTTTTTTTAACAAAATGAGATTTAAGGCAAATTATAAACTAAATGTGTCCTTTTATTATTGCTTGGACAAAATGCTGCACATTTCTTTGTGATATTGAAATATAACACTATAATAATATACTAATATAGCACTTGCAAATTATTGCTCTTTTGTTGGTTTTGATTGCTTCTGTTGTCCTCATTAGTTAGTCGCTTTGGACAAAAGCATCTGCTAAATGACCAAATTTAAATACAATGTAAATGTAATTAACAAAACTAAATTGAAATTTTAAAACAAGCCCCAAATCAAATAAAAACTGTAAGTAACACAAATAAAATGAATAGCTTCATATAAACAAAATAAGGCTTCGTCTGTGCTCTTTCCATTTAAATGAGAGGCAACCACTGCATTTTAATCATGATCCAAACAAAGATGCTGCATACATGCAACATGAGCAGTTTTTAATCTAAATTTGATTGTATAATTTCAAAATTTGAAGCAAAAACTGAATGGTTTGACTTCAGTTTTGTGAAACTATACATAAAAAAATATCTGCATGAAACAGAAACAGAAACAGCGAACGAGATGAATGAGACGCAGATGCACTCTCTGCCAGCAGGTGGTGCTTAAAGTCTTTCCTTGGTTTCCGCTGTAAACAAAACAGCGCTGCACTTATGAACTTTGATATGCTTTATACAGAGGCAAGATGAAAAGAAAGAAATACCATCTAAACTTTTCTAAAGACAGCAAGTTGAAAAGACAGACAGCCCTACATGTCAGCCCTAAATTCACTGAAACTTACCCTCTGTTGTTCTGGGACAGACCGATTCTTTGTATTGGCAGGTGAGTGGATATCAGACCTAACAAAATGAATTTGGTCCCGTTTAATGTGAGCTGACCAAGTGATAAATGTCTACACTTACCATACGAAACCTGTTTTATCTTTCTTCAAACATATAGGCTAGCATGTGAGGTAATATTGAATGTACTTCTTGGAAAAAACTATGCTTGAATACCCCCGTCATAATCATTATCTATAATTACATAAAATATGCTTCTGTATTATTGCTGTGAAACAGCAGTCTAATTAACGAGTTCACAATCTCAAGCGGGTTTAACATTTGATAAAGTGTGAGGGGTGAAATCTTCTTACATATTCATTAGATGGAGTTTTTTTTTTTCCACTGCTTTAACATTTATTATGGGATTTAAGTTTTGAATTTTGTCTAGTCTTTGTGGATTCTCAATTCCTGTTAAAAATATTTTCACAAGAGGGCATAGTTGCAGAGAAACATATTTTAAATAAGATACATTTACCAAAGAACCAAAACTAGGTAAGATTTACATTCAAGAAAATAAATGTATTTTCTCGTTGCATTGGAAAGTTTTGCACTTGCTTTAAGTATAAATCATTGGGGGAAAAAATGCAAATACAATGAGACAAAATACAATTAGCCTGTATTTCAGACATATTTTATGTGTTAATAATTTATGCTGTTGTGCTGCTAAGAATATTTAGTTGTTTTACTAGAAAAAGAGGAAGGAAAAACACTAAGAAATAGGCATGACAAAACAATACTCTAGCAATGAAAAATGGTGCAAACACATATTATCTCCTCCATCTTTACAATGCTGTCCCTGTAGGCATTTAGAAGTTTACTAAGTGAGTTTTCTAAAGGTACACCCATCACCCTTTACATACTATTTTATGCCATATGTCACTTATTCCTTATTCTGCTGTCTCTATTATGGCATCAGTGTCATGTTAGAAGACTGAAGAATCTCCAATGCGTCACAAAAAGCTTGTATTACACACAATAAAAAATAAAACCATGACACTGGATCCCATATGACCTCATCTCACGCAGCCCATGAGCAAAATGACATTTGACAGCCAGCGCACCCGTTTAATCACAATTTCACCTAAATGAGCCCTGAGCTTTTGAATGCTAACAGCAACACAGGGTGAGCCGAAGGCCATGAGTGTGGCAGTTTCTGGCATTCAGCAAAGAGTGACAGTGTGCCAGTCTATGGGAATAATGCTGTATTACATGCCACATTAAGGCCAGCTATTCCCAGCTATGAGACCATTGAATGTACAAGTGTAGCGGGAGATAGCGAGGCGGCGCTGTAATGAAACGATGGAAATCTATGGAACATTTTGCAATTTTTACCCTGATGACGGTGAGCAGTGGGGCTCCTGCCGTATTTTTACAATTGCTTTTGTTGGTGCAGGGTCCATTACCAAGTCTAACATCATTACCAAGCTCATAAACAGTAATGATGATCATGATGGTGATGATAATGATGCAATAAGACGTTGTCCATCTCGGAGAACGATCTTCCACCTACGAACCGCATTCACTTTCTGTTCAAATATGAAAATACCAATTTTGCTGTGAATTGAATTTAATAAACATACCATTTTCTGACCCACACCTTATTTTCTGTTATGGATTGTAATATAACCTGAATGGAATGAGATAGTTTTTATATGGTAGCACAAATGAAATTAATATTTTCCTGGGCACAGAGGCCAATGTGAAGGGCTATGTATGTGGATAATCAGTACTTAAATGAGACAGAGATAGAGGAAGAGTCCTGAACAGACAGCATGTCTGGACTCTCCAGTCCTACTCCACTATTGCGTTTGATAAATATCAGCAGCGTTAATACAATAATCAGGAAGCCATACCATATTAATATGCTTTAGACAGACATACACACACACACACCCTACAAGACTGAAGCACACAGCCTTGTCCACAGTATACATGGAATGGTCAACACCAAGGGGACACTAGAGAATGACTAGACAGCAGGCTGGCTAAACAAATAGTTGACAATCTTAAGGAAGCCCTTTGACATAAGCCTGGTTCCATGTCTGACTCCAATCAGACAGGTTTCTAAGAGCAGCTAGAATAAGCACAACCTAATAATACAGAATGCAGGGGCCTCAAATACGGGAATAATTTTTTTAAAGCTGGACTGTTTTTAACATGATGTTGTCTTAAAAATCCACTTCTTATAGTGGGATGATTAAAGGCCCAGACACACCAAACCAACATCAAACAACTCGCTGCAATGGAAGCCGACTGTGGTGTCACCTCATGCTGCCTTTGTTGTCTGGACCAAAAAAGTTGTGCATGAACACACCAAAAAGCCTACAGTCAACGGCCAGCTAGTATGTATGTTCTATATATGCCATGTCTGACTCCAATCAGACAGGTTTCTAAGAGCAGCTAGAATAAGCACAACCTAATAATACAGAATGCAGGGGCCTCAAATACGGGAATAATTTTTTTAAAGCTGGACTGTTTTTAACATGATGTTGTCTTAAAAATCCACTTCTTATAGTGGGGTGATTAAAGGCCCAGACACACCAAACCAACATCAAACAACTCGCTGCAATGGAAGCCGACTGTGGTGTCACCTCATGCTGCCTTTGTTGTCTGGACCAAAAAAGTTGTGCATGAACACACCAAAAAGCCTACAGTCAACGGCCAGCTAGTATGTATGTTCTATATATGTATATATATATAAAAATCAGGTTCAGCAGGAAGGCATGAAAACCCAACCCAAACCTAACTCCTAACAGCCTTCTCTAAAATAAAAGCAAAACACAGGCTTACTTACTTACTGAGTACACATTGTGTTTATTTGGTTTATTCCAAGAAATGTCTTCAAAGAGAGCTCTATGCCTCCAACTGTCACTGAAAACAATGACTACAGACAACTAAAACCACATCAGCGGATGTGGATCCACAGAAAATAGCAC